AGAGGGAGAGGGAGATTGATTCTCACAAAGGAGTCAAAAAGAACAGAAAACAACACCAAAAAAAAAAAAATATCAAAGGCCCTGTAGTGAGTGCCTTCTCTGGGTGGTGGCAGAAAGCCTGCTCAGGAAGTAATAGCTCCCATAAAAATGTAGCTCTGCTGTCCTCCCCCACCCCAGTGTTCAACACAGGAGGCCCTGCAAGTGGCTAGTGTATCCAAGGAACTGAATTCTCTATATTACTTAAAGTTTAAGTGTAAACAAACAGCCACTGTGGTGAACGACTGCTATCCCACACACTCAACGGTCCAGAGCTTTGCTCTCCAGGTACACTCTGAGCTTGTCATATAAGCTTGCCTGCTAAAGAAAAAAGGTCAAATGGTTTGCTATCAAGTCAATTGAGACTAATAGTAACTCCTCAGGACACAGCAGGACTGCCCCCAGGTTTCCAAGACTGGAGATCTTTACAGACGCAGATTGCCACATCTTTCTCCCGTGGAGTGACGGTGTGTTCCAATTGCTAACCTTTCCCATGGGAGTTGAGTGCTTAACCACCATACCATGAAGGCTCCCTTCGCCTGACAGATCTACTGAACAGCAGCTGTATTTTAACCCCTTAGTTGATTTCAGGGAACCCTCCTGGCACATTGGGTAAGCACTCAGCTATTAGATAGAAGGTTGGTTGTTTGAACCCACCCAGCAGCTCTGAGGAAGACGTGTGACCAACTTTGATAAGGGCTGTTGTGGTAGTGTGCTCCCCTTCATACCATCGAGCCCCTCATGCACAAGACCTGGGACAGCGACTTGCCTGTGGTGGCCTCTTGTTCCTGGACTATAAGAGGTACCCCAGGGAGCTCAGAATGAAACCCTCCAAGCATGGAGTGACGCCCACCTGATCTCATGTCCTGGCTCTGCTGTGTAACCCTGGGAGAGTAACCTTTCTGAGCTTGTTTTCTCACTGGGACAGGTGTTGTTGAGCAGAGTACAACTCATAGCAACCTATAAACAACAGATCTGAACCCTGTCCTGTCTTGTACCATCCTCACAATCTCTGATACACTTGAGCCCATTGCTGCAGACACTGTGTTGATCCACCTGCTTGAGGGTCTTCCTCTCTTTTGCTGACCTTCCACCTTTCCAAGCATGATGTCACTCTCCAAGGAACAGCCTCTCCTAGCAACGTTTCCAAAGTATGTGGGACGAAGCTTTGTCATCCTTGCCTCTTGATTGTACTCTGGCCAAACTTTCTTCTAGATGTCTTTTCCATTCACTGTTTGTTCTTTTGGCAGTCCATGGGATTTTTCAGCATTCTTCTTCAACACTGCAACTCAAAGGCATAGATTCTTCTACTGTCATCTTATTCACTGTCCAGTTCTCAGAGGCACGGCAAGTGACTGAAAAGGCTAGGGCCTGAATCTGGAGCATCTTGGTCTTCAAACAGACACAAACTGCTCCTCAGTAATTTGGAGAGGTCTCTGACAGCAGACCAATGCAACATGTCTCCTGATATCTTGACTGTGAGTACCAAGGTTATTGGTTGTGGGTCCAAGTAATATGAAGCTGTTGACAATTTTAATCTTTTCCCCACCTGTCATGATGTTACCAATCAGTCCAGTGGTGAGGATTTTTGTCCTCTTGATGTTGAGATGTAATTCATATTAAAGGCTGTATTCTTTGATCTTCTGCAATCCTCATTTCAGCAAGCAAGGTTATGCCATCTTTCTTTGGATAAATCTTCCTTTGGAAGAGAAGTCTTCCTCTGACACAATGTTGTTGTTGTTATGTGCCATCGAGTCGCTTGTGACTCCTAGCGACCCTATGTATAACAGCCCTAAATTCTGCTCTGTCCTGTGCCAATCGCAAGGTCTCTGACACTCCCATCCCGATTACCCCAGTCACTGAATCAGTCTACCTCATAGAGGGCCTTCCCCTCCTGCACTGTCCCTCCACCCACCTTCAAGGATCCCGGAAAGCTCTGGTCAGCAAGTGGATTTGCAAAGAGCTTTATTAATGAAATAATAAATCTGTAAATATACATTGTTGATGGTGTTGGCCTGAATATGCTCTGGCTGCTCCCTCCTCCCTTGAAGTAGGCTCATGGGTAACTAAAAGGCCCTTGGGGGCCACGAACATACATTCCTGCATAGCGCACAATTCAACTGAGGAAGCACGGTGATGCGTTCTTGGCTGCGAGCCCCTCTTCCCTCCTCCTCAGTCACCGCCCCCTGTGCTCTCTTTAGAGATGGCCCTGGATCTAACAAGAGAACGGAACACCAAGCTTATTAGCCTCAGGTTCTCGGCAGAACAGATGAATTTAATAAAATGTAGCTGCTTTCATGCTGCACACATGCAATTTTAATCCTTTCAATTTGCTATTTATGAAAGTATTAATAAAACAAAACACATGCGCTGTGACTATGTCTCCTAATAGTAATTTTACACTGCTCCCATTTACTGAAGGAGTTCCGGTAGCCTAGCGGAGAGGAGCCGTACTGTCAATCCAAAGGCAGGGAGTTGGAATCCCCTTGCTGCTCTGTGGGAGAAAGATGGGCAATCTCCTCTCGTGCCATTTACAGCCTCTGAAAATTGCTAGAGGATCCGCTATGGGTCAGTTCCGCTTCAACGGGACCTGACAACAACAATCACAGCCATTTATTGGGCGCCTATGGGATGCCACTCTTTTCCTATATAACCTTATAGGACCCTCCCAGCATCCCTGTTGAGGAGGGGTTATTATTTCCATTTCATAGATGGGAACACTGACGTTGTTGTTAAGTGTCGCTGAGTCATAGATAACTCATAGCGATCCTATGAATGAAAAGACCTGAACACTTGTATAATGTTCATCGTTTCTCCAAGTTCATAGAGCTTCTGAGGCATGCTACTTCAGAAGTGGATGTCACTCCTGCTTCCAAGCTTGTTTTAATCAGGGAGCTCCACAAAATACTGTCCACCGTGGGTAACCATTATTGCATTTGACACATCAGCGTCACAGTGCTTAGCATCACAGCAAATCAACAGACCAGTGCTATGCCACTTACTTGGGAAAATTATTTTGCCAAAGTCAGGTAATAAATGGCAAAACAAAACAATCAATTCATGGTGATGACTCAGTTCTGACTGACAGCAACCCCACGGGTTAGAGAGGTTTAGAGGACCCATCAGGTTTTCTAGGCTGTCATTTTCACAGAAGCAGATTGTCAGCCCTTCTTCCTAGGTAATGCTTGGTAGGTTCAAACTGCCAACCTGTAGGTTAGCAGTCAAGCACAATCTGTGCCACCCACGCCCTTGGCAAATGGCAGCACAAAGCTTTGAACCCAGGATTGTCTGACATCAAATGTTTTGTCCTTTCATTTTTTTCTCCTTTTTTCTTTCTTGTGGGTTCAGGGCAAGTTTTGCCAATATATTAGTTTGTGCCATATTCAGGAAAATCCCTTTGGTTTTCAGAAGGCTTTGGGGTCTGGCACCACAGGCACACATTGTACCTGACTGGAGTTGCCTATGCTCTCCATTGACTTGGTTCCCTGAGGGTTGGGCCTGTATCGTGTTCCCTGTGTGGCCCCAACCATGGGACTGGCATATGAAAAGTGTGTCGAGTGAACTTCCCAAGTGAGTGAGAATAATAATATAGCAATGTATCTGTCAGTAAGTGCAACTCTGTATAATCATTATCACAGCACTGGGCCAGGCGTGATTAGACCCCTTTCACTGATGAAGAAACTGGGTTGAGCATCAGGACCCAGGTCTATTGATTCTCAATCGCGTGCTCTTCAGGACCACTGACACTCTGTCTTTACCTTGGGGTGAAGGAACGGTGTCTCCTCAGGCCAACTGCCATGAAGCTCAGTGGTGGCTTCATCATCTCTCCTCACCAAAGCCTGGGCCGCCTCCTGGGTTAAAAGCCCTCAATCTCACTCTCTCTCTCTTTCTTTTTTTACATTTAAATGTTTTTATTTTATTTTATTATTTTTGTGTGTGTGTACCATCAAATCGGATCTGACTGGTACAAGAGGAGATTACCCCTCCTTCTTCAACAGAGTATCTGGTGGATTTGAACCTCATACCTCTGGGACTGCAGTTCACCTTCTTGCCACTAAGCCATCAGAGCTCCCAATCTCACGTCCAGGCCCTGGCTGCCGGCTCCCGACCTCTGCCACCTCCTGGCCTGCCCCCTGTACCCACGTCTGGCTTTGCTCTGACAGTTTAGTTTGCCTTTTGCCCACTCCTCACTCTCCACTGCTCAGTAACTGTTAGGCCAGTTCCTTGGCCAGCATTCAAAAGGCCTCCAATTAGGGCCTGAGCTCTGATCTCAGACCGGGTCCACCCAGCCGCCCCCTGCTCCTCAGCTCTAACCATGCCGAGTCATCCCTGGCCATCCAGGTGGTCCCGGGCCTGACTCAATGCGGCCTTTTCAGGGTCCTCCTCCTCTCAATACCTCCGGGAACGGACCCCTCACAGGTTAGGACCACCTGAGCTTAGTTCCTGGGCCAGAATCCCACATTGCTAGGGCCCTCCAGCTCAGGGGCTTGGCCTCAACCCAGGTCCCCAGCACAGGGCCCAGGGACACTGGATGCTCAGTATGTGCTGTCACCTCCTTACTGGCCTGTGGTTTGGACCGACCTGCTGTAGCCATTGATGATCCTCCCGGACACCACCTTCCGGAAAGGCTCCCAGTGCTTGCCTTCGCCTTCCACTGGAGCACCGAGGAGGACGACGTCCTCGATGATCCCTTGGCAATCTGGTGAGAGAGCCCAGGAAAAGGACGTTAGTGTCCCTGGCCACCGTGGGAGGAACTTTCTAACAGCAGTGGAGGAGGAGAATGTGCCACACACAAACACATATATGTGCAAACACAACGCACAGACTTGCACACATACACATGCACACATACAAAAGCACATATACATACATGTACACACAAGCACATATGGATACATGCACACAAGAAAGCACAGTGAGAGATACACAGAGAATCACATGCATACTATGCACACATACACAGTATTTGGGGCTTCTACTTCCTGAGTTCCAGGCTCCATGTAATTGATCTATTTCTTCAAAGCATCATCATCCCATTTGAGAAATGAGGACAAAAAAAAAGACATTTAAAAAAAACACATGATCAGGAAGTGACACTCCTTGAGTTTGAACTCACGTGTCCTTCCACCACCCATGAAGCTCACGACCACCCAAGGACTCGGATGGGACATCTCGCTTGAGGAGACTTACGGCCCCCGGGGCACCGAACACACTAAGCAGTAGACCCTCCAGCCTTCCCCGGCAGCAGGCGCCCTGGGGTACGCACAGCCTGGTGAAGAGCAGGTGAGATGGAGCCAGACGGTCTTAGTGCAGGGAGGGGCCAGCCATGGCTCTCCTACTCAAAACAGGTTTCTAGTTACATGACCTACTGATTGGAAATGTGTTCGGCTGGAGCTATTCAAAGTGTGCTGGGAGAAGTATGGGTCGTCTTTTCTGGTGCCACGTACTGCCTCTGAACACCTGCTGGAGGATCAGCTATGAGTTGGTGCTGACTTGATGACACAGAACTACAACAACAACGTTCAAAGTGTGGCCCACAGTGTGGGCGAGTGCTGCTCACAGAAAGTCTGTAATGAAGGGAGAGAAACACTTAATTCTATCTTGTTGAAGACTGATGACCGCTAATGGACGAGTGGGCAGACCGCACTGGGAGAAGGACCACGCTAGGGCCAACAAGCACTGCTCTGGCCTCAGCCCATCATCCTTGCCCCCTTACCCTGCTTTAGTTTTCTTCCTCTCGTGCCATTTATTTATCATCTGCCACCTTCTCTAAAATTTGGGTTCAGTGAGGCCCTGCTCTAGCTGCGTCCCCACAGCTGTATGGCAGGGTCTAGAACAGTGCCTGACACATATCTGGTGCTCAAGAAAGTCTGACTGAATGAGTCAATACACTACTATTCCCCAGAAGAGTTATGGGTTTTGGAATCACAAAGTTGTGGGTTCATATCTCTGCCTACTTAAGTTCTGAGCTGTGTGACTTCACAAAATCATTTACCTCCTCTGAGGCCAAAAGAGAAGAATGATAATAGCCTCTGGGGAACCAGGACTAAGTCATGGTGTCGGGGAGGACTCGGCCTGGTGAATATGGTAGGAGAGAGTGCGTTCCCTCCCTGGCCTGTACCCTGTTCCTCCTAATGAGCCCTCTGGTACAATTCTGAGTCCCTCACGTCTCAGGAAGCCACAGGCTCAGTGCCATTCTGAGGAATGTGCCAGCGGGGCCAGCTCCCCCCAGCTTGTCCCTCAGTTTTTGGGTAATGTAGGATAGGTGGCTTCCTTTCTCCACAGCAGCTCTGCTTCTAACTCATTAGTCTGGGCCTGTAAGTCTGAATCTGAATAAGGAGTTCTGGGCTAAGAGGCGTGTGAGGACATCAACGTCATACTGTGATGAGTTCCTCTCGCATGATGCCATGATTAGACTCCATGGCACACACCCTGGCTTCACTCCTTCAGCTTCCCGGAGAGCTAATAACCAGGTCACGAGACTGAAAATGTCATAAGCTGGTAGCTGATGCTGAATAACCAAGGGCACCTGACCCCACCCCTGTTTCAGGGACATTGTAGGTTTTCATGTTGGTGATAAGACAGCTGTCAAAATGGCCCTCAGAGATCAACTGGATTTTATTCCTCCCCCTTCCCTGGATAGATGAGGAAACCGAGGCTGGGATATGGGGCTAGCTTAAGATCACAGAGTCCATGGTACTCCAAGCTGAAGCACAGCCCAGGCTACGTGGGAGCTGCCTGGCCTCCGTGTCTCTGGAGTCCTCCCTAGGATGCCCACAGTAGGAGCTGAGGCACAGTGAGTATACAAGGGGTGGGATGGGGGCGGGGTGCTGAGGCAGGACAGTCTTTCAAGAGAAGAGAATTCCTGTCATCATTGCTCCCAGAGACCAGAGAGTTGTGGATGGAGTGTAACTCCGCTGTTGCACAGTTCTCCCTAGAAGCTGGTGAGCCTGTGAGTCAGAGTCCTTTCTCTAACAACAATTTCATCAGTGCTCAGTAACAGGGATCGAACTGCTTTTTATCAAAGGTGCTGATGTCTGGAGTGGCCCCTTGTGGCCAGCAGTGGTGATAACAGCATTCCTGAAACGGTTGCTCTGAGCAATCAACCACTGGTGCCCTGGAGTCACAGTGACCCTGTCTGTGTACAACAGAAAGAACTCTGCCTGACCTTGTACCATCTTCACAATCTCTGCAGTTGTTTGCTATGATCCTGGAAATCAGTACTGGAGGGAAAGACCTTTTCTCTTGGGTGGATTCTGATTGATAGCATGACCCCAGGCATTAAAGAGGTTTCTTTTTGTTGCTAGGTGCCATTGAGTTGAATATGACTCATAGCGACCCTATGAACAAAAGACCTGAACCCTGTTCTGTCCTGTGCCGTCCTCATACTTCCTGACACAGAAGAGCCCATTGCAGCAGTCACTGAGTCAATCCACCTGGTTGAGAGTCTTCCTCTTCACCGACCCTCCACCCTTCTAAAAAAACTCTTTTTTTCCCCCTGGTGCGTCAAAAAAGGAGTTTTCTTAGTTGTAATAAAATTTTCAAACAGTTTTATTTTGTTGTTGTTTTTTTAATTGAGGATATACAAAGCAAAATAAACTCAAAGGCCAAAATCTTCTGAGGAAAAAAAAATATCCTCTCCATCTGTGAATATGTGAAATCTAGAATCCAAGCTATGGGTTTCCAGGGGACAACGTTGGGACAGGCAGGCATATGGTAGACACTTCCAAGGCACTTCACCCTGCCACGCTATACGATCACAGAACAGCCAAATTACTGGGAACCACAGCCCAGCCAAGGTGACACACAGTCTTAACCATCAGGTAGTTTTAAAAACACACAGACTTTTCATGTAAAAGAGGACAAGGTCCCAATGAACATTCAAATCATCTTCAAGTTCAAGAGTCACAGGCATGTACAGCTTTTACACTTACATTCCTCAGCTCCTAACAATCTTCTATAGGTGATTAATATCCCATTTTTACTGTGAAATCTAGAAGCCCTTCATCTTGTTAGAGCCTTAGCACAAAGGAAGTTCCAAGTCTTTAGTAATTTAAAAAAAATGCTTTACACCCCCATTTCATTGCAGCGTTATTCACCACAGCAAAAGGACAGCAACTTAAATGCTCATTAAAGGATGAATGCAGAGCCAACCTCGGATCACATACACAATGGACGACTTATTACATAATGCTAAAGGGTAACAAAGATTTCAGGAGACATGTCATAACATTAACGAACCTGGGGGGCTTCATGCTGAGTGAAAGAAATCAATCACAAAAGGACAAATAATATATGACATCATGATCATAAAACCTCAGAGAAAGGTTTACACACAGAAAGTAACATTCTTTGATGTTTCTCAGGGATGGGAGGGGAAATCACTAACTAGAAAGGAGACGTTGGAGTATTTACTTGCGTGAAGGGAGCTGTTAGGTGCTGCTAAGTGGGAACCAGCTTGGTGGGCCCTCCAGAGAGTTGTCAGGGGCTGTACAGAGCACGAGAGGAGACCGCTCAGCTCTCTCCCTCGAGCGGCTGGTAGATTCAAACCCACCTTTGTCTGCACAACTCTTATCTACAAGATCACTAGAGCTCCCCCAAAGTGAAGGGAGGGGTAATATATAATGAGGGGGTCATCGTAACATGACCAAGGGAGAGAACAATATTGGGAAGAATACAGAATAAAAGGCAATATTCCAGGCTTTTCCCTCGCTGTTCCCGCTTCCTGAATGCCCCTTCCTCAATCCCCACATGCCTCTCCCCATCCTCTTTACCTCTCTGCTTATCTGTCACCTCTAGGTGCCGTCCCTATTGAAAAGGCAGTCCTCTCGCTCCTGTCAGGTGTTCTAACCCCACTCTCGCGCTGTCCCGTCAAAGCGTTGATCACTTACTGACGGCTCAGTCTGTAGGGAGTTGTGCTGCTAATTTAAAGATAAACCTTCTCTGATGGTTTGAATCTACCAGTAGCTTCAAGAGAGAAAGATGGGTGCTCTCTTCCTGTGCAATGCTTCGAAGGCATTCAACAACAACAATACTTCTTAGAAAATTTTATTATGTGTGTGTGTACCATCAAATCGGATCTGACTGGTACAGGAGGAGATTGCCCCTCCTTCTCCAGCAGAGCATCTGGTGGATTCAAACCGTATACCTCTAGGATTGCAGTGCAGCTTCTTGTCACAACAGCAATGCTTTTTAAAGAGTTTATTCTCTTTCTCTCACTAGAATATGGGCTCCATGGGAGCTGGACTGTTTCAACTTAAAAAAAATATTATAAAAAAGAATCTTATTTGTGTGTAAGTTTACAAATTATACTGTATTTTCTTTTAATCACACACAGACATTTTGTGTTTTAACACGAGCTACAACTGATTAATGTAATTAATTGAACTCTCACTTTATATCACCTTTCCCTGGACCCAGCTTACCTTCTGTTTATTGATTTTCACTCCTCTCTTCCTCTCGTTTCTGTGAGCCCTGAGATTGCTTCTGTGTATATAAACCTGTCCATTGTGGCCTCGAGCAGTGCCTGGCACAGAGGAGGTGCTCTAAATATATGTGGAATTAATGAAAAAAGCTCTGAGACCCAGCAGAGCAAAGCTTTCAGGTTGAGAATAAGTGGGAGCAGTTTATCTTTCCTTTCCTCAGATTTGTTCCCCCTTCTGGCGCATTTTCTTCCCAGAAGCTCGGAGATCTTGGAGA